CGGCGGCGTGGGCCCCGACGATCTGATCACGCCTATGCCTCGATGTCTGCCCATGGGTTTATCGTGGAGCTTGTTTCTGGCGCAGGACATCGACGAGGAGGTCGCCAGCAATGTTTTGGACCGCGCCGAGCTCCTTCAGGACCGAGGCCGCCCGTTGGTGTTCACGCTGCGCGGCAAGCTTGCCACGGGCACGAGGCACTACATCTACGTGGACAACAACGGCGTCTTCGGCTCCGACGGAAGGATCGTGGCCTCTAGGCTCGAGGACGTCTGCGCGGCCTTCGAGGCGAGGGGCCTCGCCGTGCATGAGGTATCCACCTCCGACGCGGGCGTGGAGGCCCTGGGCGTTCTACTGGACGGTCGGCGGCGACACACCAGGTTGACATCCAAGCGGTTTTGGCGAGCGCGGGGCGCCCTGCTCGCTCTCGCTGCTCGTCGCCGCGTCGCAGGCCGCCAGGTGGAGGCCGTGATAGGCCACGCCACCTTCTGCGGCCTGGTTCGGCGCGAGGCGCTCACGGTCTTCCCCGCCGCGTACCCGTTCATCAGGAGGCACTGCGACGAGCCCGTCATGCTCTGTGCCTCCGTGCAGGACGAGCTTCGCGTGTTCGCTGGCCTCATGGTTATGCTGGTCTCCAGTTGGGAGTCCGACTGGAACCCGCTCGTGCTGGCCACCGACGCCTCGGAGTGGGGTTGCGGCATCTGCTCGCGCTGGTTCGACCCCGTGTACGTTGCCACGGCGGGCCGCTGCAGGGAACGAGACCGCTACCTCTCCGAGGACCACGTGGCTGCTAGGGCGGCCGCCCTTGGCGGGGAGGTTGCCTCGCCCTCGCTCGAGAGCATCGGCCTTGAGGGCTGCTTGGGCCGTGACGACCTACTCCCCGACCCTGGCTTCTCGGAGGCGCCCGCCTTCATGACCGAGCAGGCCGCCTGGACTACCGTTGGCGGGTGGAGGTGCAATCAGGTTGAGGATATCATGGTGCTCGAGGCGCGCGCCCTCCTTCGTGGATTAGAGCGAGTGGGCCGCACGCGTTTTGGGCGCAACATTCGACAAGTCCTCTTTGCTGACAACCTCGGCCTGGTGCTTTCTGTCGGCAGGTGGCGCTGCCGTGATTTCAAGATTTTGGCCATCCTGAGGAGGATGGCCGCCTGGTGCCTCAGCCGCAACATTCACCTGTCCGCGCGGTGAATCCCGTCGGAAAAGAACCCCGCCGACGGCCCTTCTCGTCTCTACCAGCCTTCCGCTCGGCATGCTGTTTGTAAGGGGGACGATGTTGCCTGACCCCCTCGCTTAAAGCACGCCCCCCTTGGTTTGATTAAGACCCTTGGAAGTGCGGGAGAACCTGGGGACCAGACCAAACCCGAAGATATGTTTACGTCTCGGTGCCTGTACAGTCCCTTTTCGCTCGGTGCTGGCTCCCGTTCTGATCATGTCCCCCGACTGGACAAAAGGAATGCGGGACCAGCTGCGCCTCGCCGAGCCTCCGTAGGCATTTTGACTCCAGCCACTTCATATGCTTCCGAACCCCTCTACATTGCTGTCCCGCGTTCGCACCTTCCGGGCTATCCGCGCAGGGGCGATACCAGCAGACCGTGCCACTCGCGAGCGCCATTTGAGCAGCAGCGCAACCCTATCCGCATCACGGCCTCACACTTCCCGCACCCTACGTCGACGTATCGGCGAGACTTGGAGGGGCTGAGGGACCGTGCGAGCCTGACGGATTTCTCGGACAGCGAGGTGGTCGCGCTGTTTGCGGAGCTTCGGAGTGTGCTCGACTACGACCCGAGGTTTGCGAGCGCCTCGAGTTCGGAGGCAAAGTCGGAGGCGCCCGTCAGGCCGCCCACCAGGCGTCGACGGATTGTCCCTCGGACGCGGCGGAGAGCCTTGACGAAGTTGCTGGAGTCGCCCTCCATCCCCGAGCGGTTTCACCTGACGATCGGGGGGCCCGCGGCGGCGAGGCCGCGCACCGAGCCGCAATGCGCCCAAGAGATTCATCAGTTCGGACGCTACACGGGCGTAGCCAAGGTTATCGATGTCCCGCTGGACGCCCTCGACGGCCTGCTGGTGGATTTCATGGACCGCCAGGCCCGTCGGGGCGTCTCGGCTGCCAAGGGCATGGAGCTGATGGCCGTGCGGCCCGAGTATCTCCTCTCCCCCAGCCGCGTCGCCACCTACTGGACCGTCCAGCTGAACCCAGAGGGCAAGCGTGTCCCATCGGTGGCCAAGGATGTCGACGTAACGATCGAGCTGGACCCCGGCTGGTGGGGGGACCTCGCATTGGTGCTGGGCGCCCCACAGTCGCGGCCCAAGGGAGAGAGCGTCTGGGACTTCACCTACCCCCAGCTGGCCGCGACCGTGCAGAAGGTGTCTCGGGACCTGGGGTTCAACCTTGCGGTCTGCCAGTCCCGGCAGATCTCGGTGCACGGCCTGGTGCTGCCAAAGCCCGCTTCTCATTCCCCGTGAACGAGAGGAGGCTCTTTGTGCTGGTCATCGGTAGTCTCTTCATGCAGCCGAGCGAGGTAGTCAAATCGGGTTTTTTAGTTAGATACATGCCAGATCAAAATTTGGATGACGTCGTGTCTTTCCGACTGAGCAGTGACCTCCGTGCTGGCAAGATTGGGGCAATCGTTGTCTCTCTCACTGCCGAGCTGCTGGCGACAGGATTGGTTCGGCTCATCCCGGACGCATACAGATGGGAAGTTCCTTCAGTGATTAGTTGCTTCTCTTCGGTGAGTGATGCAGTTTCCTGCCGCTTCCCCGCTCTCGACCTCGATTGCCTCGTTTCACACATGTGTCGGTACAGGGGTTGTGCTCGATTCCGTGTTTCTACTTTCATCATGCATGTGATGTCTGACAACACCACCCGCCTTGGCCTAAAGTGCCCAGGCGCTCGGGCCCGAGATGGCCACAAGGAACACGTTGCCGTGCCTCGCGCCTCGGAGCTGGTCCCCAAACGTTTTCAGTCTGCCGTGGGCTTCACTGTTTTATTGGCCCTTCGAGCCCGTTACCTTACGGTGTGAGAACAGCTTCTGGTTTGGGAATCTGAATCGGGTGTGACTTTGATGAGGCGGGGCGGAGCCCTCGCCTCTTTCTGTCTCGGATCCGAGTCGCTTTGACCAGCGAGTATAGTAGAGAGAATCGTTCCCCGCTAAGAAACAAGGGTAAGTCATGGGGGTGCGTGCACATTAATGACTTAGCGAGGTTTGGGTTCTCGGTCTCATCGATCCTCATCGTGTCACTCAGCAGTCATCCTGGCTCCCCTCCCTTCTTGAGCCACTTTGGGCTCACCCATCCCTTTCCTTCCAGGGTGTGACTTTGATGAGGCGGGGCGGAGCCCCCGCCTCTTTCTGTCTCGGATCCGAGTCGCTTTGACCAGCGAGTATAGTAGAAAGAATCGTTCCCCGCTAAGAAACAAGGGTAAGTCATATCATTTCTTTTCTTTGAAAACGGGTGAGCAGGCATAACCCACCAGGTGTTTGGGTGATGCTGGCTTCCTCGGGGGGAATCATTGGGAGGCTCAAAGGCCACTTGGAGCCTCTTGGGGTCGTCGTGTAAACTCTCGGAGGCAAGCTGGAGGCCGTTTCGAGCCGTCTTCACATCCGTTGCGCCATCTTGGAGGCCATCCTGGAGCCATCTGGGGTCATCTCGGTCGCTCTGACCGCTTCCTCTCCCTCCCCCGTCCCGACCCAGGCGAGGGAGGGAGGGAGGGAGTAAGGGGGGAGGGGAGGCGCAAATCCTTTCCCGAAGGGGAAGAAGGGGGTTTAGAAGAGGAAGTGCCCTAGCCACCGCCGCCCAGAGGGCTGGTAGGATGAGCCTGCTTCAGGGTGTATGGAACGTGCCGCACGCTGGGGTCACTCTCAATGGGGGTTAATAACAAAATGCCCAGACCAAGAGGATGCACAATGCACAAGCGTTTGAATTGTTTTCGTATGGCGAACGGCCAACCTGATGCATGGGGGAGGCTTTCGTATGCTTTGCGCCGCGGGAGGGATTTCGAGTTGTGGCTATCATGGGCTCTTGGGGTGTTCTTGGATGCTTTTGGTATTTTCCTGGGGCCATCTCGATATCGGGTCTATCTTAAGGTCCGCTTGGGCAATGCCTCGGCCGTCCAGGGACTTCAGCGGCCCAGCTAACATCGAAATTGCGAGACGGCGAATGTCATGTGATACGATTTTACATGACATGGGCCTCTCCTTTCGGGGCAGCCCTGGAGCCATCTAGGGGGCTTATTTTGAGTTTTGGGAGCAATCACAATAAAAGCCAGCAGGGGCCAACCTGGGCTAATTATTTGCGCCATCTGAGACGCAATGTTGGAGTGCCTAGGGCCACATAGGATGTCGGCATCCCAACGCATTGCGACCCCCCTCGATCCAGATCCCCGAGGAGGTGATTTCAAAAGATGTTTACAGTGTGAAGAAAGGCTTGACTTGGAAGAGCTTGCAAGCTAAAACACAGACGCCCAGAGGGATGACTGGATATCGTGCATCACGTGCCCACGGGAACATGACAACGAGCTTTCTTTCCCACTTCCCGGACATGACGTGGAGGGCGCCGCAGCGCGAAGTGGTTGACTCGTTTGCATCATATCTGCTTTTCTCGGCGTTGGTGACTGCGGTCGGGAATTGCACACGTTGTCTTTCCAGGAAGCGGCGTAGCGCTACGGTGTGCGCGCGTGTGAGCGTAAACCTGCATGCTCCGGTTTCTCTTTTCCTGCACACTCGCTTTGTCCTTCCCCAATCCGGGAGTCCACAGACTTGGCCTGAGCGCGGTCAACACACGTTCGATTGCAGGTTTGGCTGATGCATCCCGTTGGCTGGGAGCCCGTCGATGGGCCGTTGCTGCGGCGGAGGGATGCGCGTGCGTGCACGCAAGCGCTCCGTAGTCTCTGGCTCGAGCCGTCCTGCGTGCCGGCCGTGCCATGTCGCCGCCCTGCGGCTAACGCCAATGGCCAGCGGCGCGGGCCCGCGAAGGCCGGTAGCCGCGCGCGGCGCCGCGGGCCGAGATGTCGCGCGCCGGGGCCGCGGAGAGGGATGCCGCGGCGAAGCTGCCAGCGCTCAAGAAGAAGAGCTTCTGCCACCACTCCCTGGATGACGCGGGCCAGGCGGCGGCCGCGGGCGACGGGGAGCTTGCCGAGGGGCCTGCGCCACTGCAGCTGTCGCTGTCGAGCATGCCCGCAGACGTCAGCCAGTGGTTCGAGGAGCGACAGGGCAGGATGCTGCAGGACGCAGTTGCGTTCGTGCCTTGGATATTGCAGCAGGCTTACCACGAGCAGGGTATGGAAGGCGGGCGCATAGTGATACACCGGGGCGAGGGAGCTGTATTCTCCTCGGACGCTTCCGGCTTCACGACGCTGACCGACAGGCTGGCCCACAAGAGCAACGGCGCGGAGTTGTTGTCGCAGTGTTTGACAGCGTTTTTCGGTGAGTTGCTAGCAATTATCAACGACTACCGTGGGGATGTCATCAAATTCAGCGGTGATTCCCTCACAGTCTATTTCCCGGATTTCGACGACACAGGGTGCAGTGCGTATAGGAGAATTAATGGAGAGATTCCACCACACGGTTCGTACGGCCATCCGGACTTGGGCCCGATGGCCACGGCGGTGCTGAGGGCGTCTGCCTGCTGCGTGGAGATCCATAAGCGTTTCCACAATTACGACACGAGTGTGGACGGAGTCAAGCTCTGCCTCCATATCGGTGTCGGCTGCGGCAGGGTGCACATACTCCAGGTTGGTGGGCAGGAACCGCCAGAGAGCAGACATCCCAGGTGCGAGTACATTATCGTCGGGCAGACTCTCGAGCAGATCTCCAAGGCCGAGAAGCTAGCCAAATCAGGCCAGACTTGTTTGAGCCCTGAAGCTTGGCGCTACGTCAAGGACTTTGTGGTGGAGGGATCGAAGATCCAAGAGAATCCATCGTTTCACTTGATTGAGGGCCTGGACGATACCTTCACTTTCCCAACGGTCAAGCATGCTGCCAAGATGTTTGATTGCCGGCGGGAATTCCAGTTCACTCGCAAAGAATTGCATGTGATCAGGCGTTTCATCCCATCGATTGTTTTCCAGCAGATTGAGTGCGACACGCTGGCGTACGTCAATGAGATGCGCAACGTCTCGACCTGCTTCGTAAACGTCACGGTCGCGGATCTCATGACCGATGAGGGGGCCAAGCAGGCCCAGGACCTTACATCTCTGGTCCAGAAGTGCTGCTACCGGCACGAGGGAACCTTCAACAAGTTCCTGATGGGTGAGAAGGGCCTCAAATTCCTCCTTGTATTTGGCTTGCCCCCGCTCGTGCACACAGACGACCCCACCCGCGCAGTGCTGGCTTGCTTCGACATGGCGAAGGAGTTCCAGAGCCTACATTTGGAGGCCAAGTTCGGCATCACCACTGGCCGCAGCTACTGCGGGCTCTACGGCAGCACCAGCAGGAAGGAGTACACCGTCGTCGGGGACCGCGTCAACCTGGCCAATCGCCTCATGAGCCACGCGTCGTCGGGGATGATCCTATGCGACGAGGAGACGAAGGACCATGCCACCACGGAAGTCATTTGGTACGCCTTGGCGGCCATCAGTGTCAAGGGGGGTGATAAGCCCGTGAACATCTTCTGCCCGGAGAAGAAGCCCCAGGCGGAGCACATCGGATTGTGCGAGAACGCCGTACATTTCCCATGGTATGACAACCCCTTCGGCGGCAGCTCTTTGTCCGCGAACTGCGACCAGTCCACTTTTCGCACGAACATGCTGCAGCTCTGCAGCGTTAAGACGTGGCATGGCATCCAGGAGGTGCAGAAGCTTCTCGGCGGCCAATTTAATAAGGCGCTCTACCTGAACAGCCCGTCGAAGACGCAGCCTGCGCTGAAAGGGATGAAGTCGACCGCCTCTCTGATTGGGCCGCCAGAGAACAGTCCCTTCATCACTGGCGGCGTGGTGGTCATCGCAGGCGACACTGGCACGGGCAAGATCGAGCTCGCGGAGCACATCGTGACTCAGGCGTGGACACGCTTCCAGATGATGCCGGTCTTCGCCACCACGGGTCCCAGGCCGTGCGGCGGCAACCGCGCAGTCTCGGAGCTGCTGAGGAGCACGCTCGGAGTCTATCGCCACCTCGACCCGTCGGTGCCACTGGACGATGCCGAGGCGCTCGCTAGGGTCATCCCCGAGTCGGAGGCGCACAACCTTCCGAAGTTGCAGCGGGCGGTCTGCGAGAACTTGTCTTCGGACAGGCCCAAGTTCAGCGAGGCCGAGATCGGCTCGGCATGCGAGCTCTTGTCAGCCCTGGCCGACCACACGCCGGTCCTGATAGTGATGCAGTTCGAGCATGGTACGAGCCGTTTCCCCAAGGCACTCAGGGAGGACTGGGGCAACTTCTGGAACATGGTGACCACACTGAATCGCTTGGTCGCCGCGCACAAGGGTGGTGCCGCCGAGGGCAAGGAGCCTATCGAAGACGCCTACGGCGAATCACCGCCGCCCCCTGCCTTTGTGGAAGCGCCTATGTGGCCGAACGTTGAGGCCAGACCTGCCAAGCCATCGGACCATGTGTTCCCCGAATCGGTTTGGAAAGCCTTCGGGGAACACGTGGGCATCTTGAAGGTCATCTTGGCCGTCTTGGAGGCCTTTTGGGCGATCTTTCGGCGATCTTTGGGGGCTCTTGGGCCGTCTCGGGCCGTCGGAAGGCCGAAAAGAAGGAAATGTCAAAATCCGTCAAAAACCTCAGGAACATCAATGTTTTTGGCCTCTTCTGGCCTTCCTGGAGGCCCTCTTGGGGGCCTCTTGGGCCCTTTTGGGCCAGCTTCGAGCCAACTTCAGCCATCTTGGTGGGTTCCTGGCACGTCTGACGCCGTCAGGAGCCGTCTTGGGGGCCTATCTGCGGGGGACCCTCTTGGGGCGCTTCGGGGCCGTCTTGGAGGCCATCTTGGGCGTCTTGGAGGCCATCTTGGGCGTGTTGGAGGCCTCTTGGGCCGTCTTGGGGCCCTCTTGGGGCCATCTTGGAGGCCACTTGGGCCGTCATGGGGCCCTCTTGGGGGCCTCCTGGGCGATCTTGAGGGCCTCTTGGGCTGTCTTGAGCCGTCGGAATGCCGAGAAGAAGCAAGTTCCAAAATCCTTCAAAAACCTAAGGAAAATCAATGATTTTGGCCTCTTCGGGCCCTCCTGGAGGACCTCTTGGAGGACCTCTTGGGCCGTCTGGGAGGCCTCTGGGGGGCCTCTTGGGCCGTCTTGGGCCGTCTTGGACTCTCTTGGGCCGTCTTGGAGGCCGTCTTGGACCATCTTGGGCGGACTTAGAGGCCATCTTGGACCATCTTGGAGGCCATCTTGGGCCATCTTGGCCATCTTGCACACCATCTTGAGCCATCTTGGAGGATTTTTTCCGGATTGAGCGCCTTTCCGGGTGGCCGGCGGGACGTGCCGGAGCGCCAAGGGGAGTTCTTTTGGAAAAAAAGCCAAAACCAAAACCAGAGAGGGTCCAGCACACCAGGCACCCCTGTGATGAATCGACAGGGGGCGCCGGATCTAGCTGCTTGCGGCAAGTCCCGCCACCGTGCCAGCCCAGCATTCTGGGTGGCAACTGTTCGAGGGTGGGAGAGCCGTGATGAGGATGTGGATGACATGGATGATGGTAATGGGGGTGGTGGTGATTGTGATTATGATGAGGTTGAATCATGGTGCTGTTGATGACGATGAGGATTCTGAAGATGATGGTGGTGGTGGTGATGGTGTTGATGTTGATGTAACTGTTGATGATGCTGCTGATGCTGATGCTGGTGCTGCTGTTGTTGCTGATGGTGGTGGTGATGATGATGATGGTGATGGTGATGGTGATGGTGATACCGATGATGATGGCGATGGTGGTGATGATGGTGATGATGATGGCGGTGGTGGTGGTGGCGATACTGATGATGGTGATGCTGCTGATTCTGCTGATCATGATCATAAGAATGATGATAGTGATACTGATGATGATGATGATGACGATGACGATGGTGATAATGATACCAATGATGATCGCGATGGTGATGATGATGATGGTGATGGTGGTGGTGGTGATGATAGTGGCGGTGGTGGTGGTGATAGCGATTGTGATGCTGCTGATGATGATAGCACTGATGATGCTGCTGATGATGATGATGCTGATGGTGAGAATGGTGATGATGATGACGATGGCGATGATCATGATGGTCATGATGGCGCTGTTGATGATAATGCTGATCGTGATAATGATGATGCTGACGTTGTTGATGAAGATGGCGATGACGATGATGATGGTGATTATGATGCTGATGATGATGACGATGGTGATGATGATGGCGATGATAACGACGGTCATGGTGGCAACGATGATGTTGATTGGCGATGGTGATGGTGATGGTGATGACGATGATAATGATGGTGTTGCTGACGATGTTGATGCTGATGCTGATGATAATGACGATGGTGCTGCTGATGATGATGATGATGGTGACGGTGATGGTGATGGTGATGATGATGCTGAAGTTGTTGACGATGATGAGTATGATGATGCTGATGATGAAGATGATGATCATCATGATGAACATGATGCTGACGACGATGACGATGGCGACGATCATTGTGATAATGATGATGGTGTTGCTGACGGTGCGAATATGAATGATAATAGTCATCATAAAAGTAATTCTACGAATGCTAGAAATAATACTAACACGAATACGAATACACATACTAATAGTACTAATACCAATCATAGTACTCTTATTAATAATAATGAGGAGGATGAGCGTGATGCTGACGACAAGGAGGAGGACTGGGAGGAGGAGGAGGAAGAGGAAAACCGTCACACTGGTACACCATTCGTCTTCACTATGTGATGAGCTCTCATGGAGCTCGTTTGGGTCGTCATGGGGCAGTCTTAGCCTCCTGTGGGGCAATTCTGGGGGTTCCGTGGGGCCCTCTCACGCAGTCTTATGGCTCTTGGGCCGCCTTGGGGCGTGTTGAATCTTCCTTGGGCCATCGTGGGACCTCTTCGGACCTTGGTATCCTCTTCGGCTTTCTTGGGTGGTGGAGGCTTCTTGGACCGTCTTGAGCTAAAGGAGGCCCAACAAGTCTAGAATGCGATCATTCAAACACCCCAGGGACATGAATGACGCTGGTTTCCTCGGACCCTGTTGGGGGTCCTCTTGTGGCCCTCTAGGGCCCTCCTGGAGGCATCTTGGGCCGTCTTGCGGAAATATCGGGCCGCCGTGTGGCCATCTTGGGCCGTCTTCGAGACCTCTTGCGCCATCTTGTTGTCTTTGGTTGCCTGCATGGGCCGTCTTGGAAGCTCGGGACGCGGATCCATAGTTTTCGAAAAAGGGATCGTGGCCCCACGAGCGCGGATCCATGACTTTCTATGGAGAGTCGTGGTCTCCGGAGGGGAGGGGGAGGGGGCATGCAGAGAAGGCGGGTAGGGGGGGGGGCCTTATAGGGAGCCCTTGGCATTCTTCCATGCCTCAGCGTGCACGAGGCACGGAAGCGGATCTGCATGCTGCTCCTCGTCAAAGATGTCGAAAAGGACAACCCCGCGGTGCAGGATGCTCACCTCAAGCTGCACCTCGGGGGCCTCGACCAGGAGAGCCTCGCACAGTACGTGAGCATCTATCTGGGTGTTCCTCCAGATGCGGTGGACCCAGAGCTCCACAAGCTCGTGTCCAGGGTGACGCAGGGCAACCCGCTGCACATCCGGGAGACGATCTCCGAGCTGCAGCGCAAGCACCTCAACTTCGTGGAGGGGCCCAACAAGCAGACCGTCCGGGTCGAGTGCAGCGACGGAGACAAGGTCGACATCTCCTCGTGGCAGCACACCGCCATGGTGTCGGGAACCGTCTGCCAGCTTGAGGGCCTGGATCCACGGGAGGCGGCGGTAGTCAAGATGGGCGTGTGCTTCAAGGGCACATTCACGCTGACCGATCTCGCGGCACGGATGTGCTCGCGGTGGGCTGGGTTCACGCGGCTTGACCAGCTGCTGCTGTTCAGCAAGATGCAAAGGCTGGAGAGTCGAGAATTCATCCAGCGTGTCACTGAGACGCGTCGGATATGGGATTCGGCGAATTGTCATGATGGAGGCGACGTCACGTGGCCGTCGTCGCAGTCGAGCTCGCAGCCGACGTCTGGTGCGCAGCGGGTGTCTGGACTTAGCAGCCCAGGTTCCGCGGCTACGAGGCAGGCAGCCCCGCGCTTCAAAATTACCAGCAAGCTCATTAGCTCTGTCGGGGGCTCCATGGTGCTGGAGGCGCACAAGAAGGCGGTGAAGCGACAGGCTTTGATCGACCGTGTCCTCAAGGAGCGGCGAGCTGTCCAGATGGAGCAGATCTAGAAGACCCAAGCGCGTCGTACACAACACTTTTTGGAGGTCCGCCTGGATTGCTCGGGTCGGCGCTGGGCCCACCCTTCCCCCATGCTCCGTCCCCAGCGCGCGGAGCGCGCCGGGGACGGCGCTGGCGGGGCCGCCCAGGGGTGCAGGGAAGAGGCTTCCGGAGCCGACCCGAGAAGTCCGCGCGGACTTCCGAAGGGTATTGCTCGTGCTGCTCTCTTTGGGTCTTCCCGGCGTCGGCGCCCGCAGCGCGGAGGCGCACATCCCGTGGTACTACGAGCAGGCCTTCGTGAGGATGTCGGCAGCTCACAAGACGGGGGCCCTGAGGGATGGGGCCCTGAGGACAGGAGAAGGGATCCCAGGTCTGATTTACACTGCTTGATGCCCCTTTATCCTTGAGTCCAGGCCTCCCAGATGGGGTCCGAGTAGGTGGTGTCAGGGGATCGCGCCGCATCGCCGATGTATCGGCGATGCGGCTCGATGTGGAGCCCGAGTCTCTCCACGCCGACGTCGCCGATGCAACGCCGACGTCGCCGGTGCATCGCCGACGCATCGCCGGTGCATCGGCGATGCGGCGCGATCCTCCGACCCCGTCCACTCCCACCCTATCTGGGAGGCCTCGCCTGGGGCCCCAGCCCTCTGGGCCCCATCTCTGAGCCGCCGAGGATGGGGGCGCAGCAGGCGGCGCAGGCCGAGCCGGAGGGGCCCGCCAGCGGCGCGGGGGGCGGCGGGCCGGGCTCTGAGCCGGGTGGCCAGCGGCAGCGGGAGTGCTGCTCCATGTGACCGCTGCGCCTGCCGCGGCGGTCACGGGGCGCGAGCGGCGCGCGCCGAGTCGATGCCCCGCGGAGTCGACGCCCCGCGGGGCGCAGGCGCAGCAGCCGACCCAGATCATGAGCGAGCGCGTCTGTGCGGCGCGCGCCTCGCCCAGCAGCGCCGCGGCCCGCTCGCTCGCGTGCTGAGGCCCTGGTCGCCGTGGGATTTCGGAGGCGACGACGGGGGCGGACAGCCCAGACGTGGGCATTGCACGTGCAGAGCTAGCATTGCTTTCCAGGGGTACCCCTGCATCCCTGTGTCTCGGCCAACCTTGGCCCTCAGACACGGGCCATGGGCTGCCAACTTCGGCTTCAGTTTGGGCGCCCGAGGGCCCTGAGCCCCCACCGCACATCTTCATGACTCATGACGTGATCGCTCTGCACTCGCCCGGGAGCTCCGTCGAACACGTTGGCGATCGAAGTCTCCCGGACACGCGGTGCCCCACTCCGCGGGGCCGTCCGCCCCCCCGCCGCAGCCCGCGACAGGGGCCCCCCTGCGCTCCCGGCGTCGGCGCAGGGCCAGGCCCAGAAGCGGACGGTCGGCGGAGTGGCCCCATGGGGGCCGCCGCGCGTTAGCGCCCCGCCTGTCGGAGGACGCCAGCTGTGGACCGCACCGACCCTGGCCAGGCCCATCTCCTCGATCCTCGCTCCTCCTCCTCCTCCTCTTCCTTCTCCTGCTCCTCCTCCTCCTTCTCCTGGTACCAGTATGGCATCCCCCCCCGTCGAGAAGCGCGCGGTCTTTCTTTCTCGTGTCCTGGGCCCAGCAGTATCATGAGTAGAGGCATTCATTCGAACGCCAGTACATCTACACAAGCTGTAAACTAGAGTATTACATTATGCGAGGAGGGCAATGCGAGGAGGAGCTACCTATGAGAAGGACGGCCACAAGGTTTCGATCTCGAACATGCAGGTTTATCGTTATTGGCAGATGTCTCCAGTGGAACTTGCACTCAAAGTTAGACGTATCAGGTGGTATCAGAAATGGGTGGCTAAACCTACAGCACATCTAGCATCATGGGGAGCACTTCTAGGCAGCATGCGAGTCGAGCTCGCCAATAACTTGCGCATTGTGAATGACGAGGTGCGCCTCAGCGAGGCCGCATGCCCCTGGGCCCGCAGATTCGTGGATGATGTTTGTTCTCTGGCAGAGTTCGGGAATGAAGAGTACAGTATGGTGCAGTTATTTGACGGGCAGCCTCTTCTCTAGTTTTCGGACCCAGAGCTGATCGATTGGTTCACGCTCTTTGATACAGAAAAGATTCGAGCAGCTTTTCTGACTATTACGATTCCGCCGCCCAACTGGACCCCACCTACTGAGGAGCCTCAAGAGACTCCAAAACCCCCGATCGAAGACGGAGAATTTGGATGCACGGTCCAGGGGTGCTTCAGAAGGTTCCAGAGCAAACGGCAAGGCCTGGTACATCTACACAATTATCTTGGCTTCAAATCTATTATCGGTACGGCGGTGGTCAACAACCAATGTTTTGTATGTAACAGCGTCTTCGAGTCCAGGAACTCAGCGTCCAAGCGCGTAGTTGATTCATGTCAGAGTGGAAGATGTATGGTTAACAGAAGTACGACATTTCGCACGCCTACCCCCTTGATTTCAGATTGCCCGGTATGCGAGGCTCCGATTGCTGACCCGACCAAACTTTCACACCACCTTCGTAGCCACCTCCATCATCTTCCAGTTATGTTCGAGAGCAATGGCGTCGGCACCAACGTGGTCGCTGGGCAAGCGCAGAGCGAGCGCAGCGGCATCAGGCAGCGACGAGGCTCGGCGGCGTCTAGAGCAGACAGTGGTGGGCCAAGCTCGGCGCCAGGAACTCAAGGGCAAAGAAGGCGGCATCATGGCGGCCTTTTTTTCTCGCAGTCTTGCGCAGGCTTTCTCTCACCAGCGCGCGACATCTCGCGGAAATCACGGGCGTTACGTTCACCTGCTTTCTTCTACCAGCGGCCGCGCCCCTCATCAAAGTGACGCAGCAAGCAAGGCAAGATTATGAAGCACATTGCAAAGAGCAGGGGAAGCAGCGCGACAACGGGCCACCATGGCCCCATATATTCATGGCGTTGGTGGCACACTTCCTGGAGGCGATGGCGTCGGCACCCGATCAGGTGGAGCAGCAAGCAGTGGCGGCTCTCAAGCACGACTGGAGCCAGACGATCAAGGAGGACAAGCCCGAGACGATGAGAGTCTTGGAGGAGCACGCACGCCACTGCCGCATTCGAGCCTGCTGGTTTGACAAGAAGTCAGGCAAAACGACAGCGAACCAGTTCAAGTTGCAGTTCATGATGAGCCCCTACATCCAGAGCCAGGGGGTCATGATCGAAGGCGCGCTGATGACAGTCCACGCGGCACTCCTGGCGCGCATTCGCAAGCAAGGCGGCAACACACAAAGCGGGAGCAGCACCAAAGGGAGCCCTGGATCGGGATGCAGAGCGTCTTCTTCAGAAGTTCGGCATGGCGCCCGTGGAGGTGGCCAAACATGTGGCAGACTGACTGAGGCTGTCCGCCCGCTGAACCCCTGCCAGACCTCCAGCCAGGTTTTTTGAGGCGAGTTTGCAAGTATCAGAGGGCATTCGGAGCAGTCCCTTTCCTGGCCGGGATTCTGGGGCGAGTTCGCAGGTTCCTAGAGGTCACTCGGAGCTTCCTTCCGAAGAGGGGCCTGTCATATTCTTACTCATCCATCCCTTATGGAGGCCAGTCTGGTCCCACCTTCTTCGCGCGCCACTTCGGCGACTCCCGGCTCGGCTCCGAGCAGCTCTCCGCCTGGCAGCTCAGCGACACCCCTTGCGAGCAGTTCCAGGCACGGGACATCGGATCGGCTGAGGCAGAGGATATTGCAACCTGCTCGCCTTGTCTCAATTCGGAATTCACTTCGGATGCTTGGGCTGGCCCAGCTGGGCCACCTTGGGCACGCCCAGCTAGATATCCTCCAGAGGCAAAGCACCCAACCCATTCTACAGTACCAATCGGGAGAGGTGAAATTCGAAACGTACTGTTCTGAGCCTTTGGAGTTTAAGCTAACTGTCATTCAGGCCCTTCAGAGGGCCGCCCAGGTCAGGCAGGTCCCCACTAACCTCGAGTCTTCTCCCTTCGTTGCTGATGTGCGCGCCTCGAGTGCGCTGCTTGCACTTCCTCCTCTTCCGCCCTCGCCTGTGCCGCCACCACTTGAGCCAGAGTTTCGCACGTAGCGCCACGGCCCCCTCCGTTGCCTGCTGCCCCTCCCGCGACTGCTGCTGTTGCCTGCTCTCTCCCTTCTCCTGGCCTCCGTGTGGCGTGTGCATGTGTGTGTGTGTTGTGTCTGCGGTGTCTTGTTTCTTCTCGCCCGTCGTCCCCCCTCTTCGTTGTCGTTGCTGGGCCGTGGCCTAGGATTGAATTGGCGGAGACTCTCGGTTGTCCCTTCCAATGCGAGCCTGCCGCTGGAGGATGGTGCCCTTGTAGGCCGTCATGGGGCAGTCTCCCCACAGGACGGCCCTGCTTAGGGCCAGTGGTTTTCCCCAAGCGAGGCTGCAGGCTATAGCCCTGTGCTATTCGCAGGTCCTCGTACATAGTTGTTGTTCATGAGCAACGCGTTGCAGTCAGGACTATCTAACCAGGGTCGTAAGCGTTCCAGTCCAGTCCTCCTTCTCCTGCTCTTCCTGCTCTTCCTGCTTCTCCTCTGCTTCCTTTCCTTTCCCTTATGAATAGTTTCTCTTTGTCGCACCCCGAGGCCTGTTTTCAGGGCAGGCCGGGCGTTTCGCATGATACTTCCCCCCCATCTATGGCCCTGAAGCTCAACGCGTGACAACAGTTTCACGGATTGAGGGCGGGTTGTTTTCAAACTGTGGTTTTCTGTTTAGCGCCGCGCACGTTTCTCTTAAACATTTGCAGAATTGAGGGCGGGTGGTTTTCAAATGTGGTTTTCGCCGTAGCGCCGCGCGCATTCTGTTTAAACATTTGCAAGAGCTTCATGGATTGAGGGCGGGTGGTTTTCAAAATGTGGTTGTCGCCGTAGCGTTGCGTACATTCATTTTCGCACATTCTTTTTAAACATTTGCAGGAGTTCCGGGGGTTCCCATGATCGACGTACCAGAACTTGTGTTTTGGCGCCACAGTGACGTTGATTCGCGGTGTTGAAGTTCCACGTATGGTTTTCTGGCACGATTCAGGATTGCCAAGACGCAACAGTCAGGTTGATCAGTGGCGTT